CGGGGCGGGGCGGGGGTAGGTTTATTCCCCGTTTATTCCCTGTTAAATTTTTTTTTTTTTAGTTTTTGATAATTTATTTTTATTGTCCATATTCATTATATTTAAACAAATAATTTTAGTTGCTATTTTCTATTAGAACTAACGAAAATGTTCATTTAAAGTATTGAATTCTTAAAAAAAAAAAAAAAAATTTTTTTTTTAACGGGGCAGGGCGGGGACCCCGTTACCCTTCCCCGCCTCGGGGAATAATTCCCCGCCCAATCCCCGCCCCGTTACCCGTTTAAGCGGGTTTTCCTCTCCCCGTTCGGGGCGGGTCCTCGCGGGTATCGGGTTTGTCGGGTTTTTTTGCCATCCCTAGGAATGGAGGGATGTATGGTGGTGTGGTTCTCAATGGCTAAGGTGGCGGTTGGGTAGTGTTTTTGACGAGGGAAAGTGACGATGAAAGAGAAAGGGGATGATTTTTGTTATTGTATTTTTAATTAATTATTTGAGATTTATTTGTAATTTATTGAAAATTTTGGGAGTATGATTACAATTTTTTTCTTTTTTTTTTCTTTTTGTTTTATTTAAATATGATGGTGTATTTGCCATTTTATAATTTTTTTTATTGAGAAAATGAATGAAAATAAAGATTTCCACAATGAAACATGGAAAGAAGGGTGAAAATTCAAAAAATTGAAACGTATAGACATTTTACATACTGAACACCAGATGTAATGACGTTTTGTGCTAATATTTTTGAAGTATGTGTAATTAAAAAGTAAAGAAAAATTTAAAATTAATACATAAAATATTTTATTTTATAAATATGTGATTTTAAAAGCGAGTATGAAAAATAAATTTAATTAAAGGCCACAAAACGAGAGCTTATGCTCATTTCCTTATTGAAATACTACCCAATCCCAAATTTTAAATTTCCCTGTGCCAAATGGCAACCTAAAACGGCAGCTTTACAAATGCGACTTTCTAATAGAAACTTAAAATCCCCAACCACTGGATCTTCCACTTGCGTTGGACTGAAAACGGCTCCAGAAGAACAAAACTTAAAACCCTAGGTTCCTTCGTCCGCCGTCGCCACCGAAATCACCACCACTTCCACCGCCGAGAACCTTCGGTAATGCTATTACGCTTCTTCACTGACTCAATTCTCCCATTTGTTCTTGATTTGTATCACATTGTTTCTAACGACATTATATTTGTCTTATTTCTTTGTCCTTTCTCCTTTATGGTTTTGAATATTGAAGGTATATTCGAAACCGTATATCTACACATATATGGCTTATTTACATTACGGTAAAAATATCCTCCGCCGGAGCTCAGGTGGAGGGCTGCACCACCCACTGTTATACGCTGCCCAGGGAGTCCGATATAGAAAGCTTGAAGTAATTCTGACAACGGTCAGTACTTCTCAACTTTTCAGCTTTATATGATTGAAATCCGTTGGCTTTCAGACTGCTTACTATTGGTCTTATTTTTATTTTTCGGTAATTAATTTCCATCTCATTAGTAAACTTTGTAAGTCCATCTTGAGGGGAAGGTATTACTCCCCCTATCAATCTGTATAAGAACCTCGTTTCGCCACGAAAAGTGGATAATTTCACTGTAATTCCTGCATCCAGTGAAATATTTCCCTAAAGATACTCGGGTAATGTAACATTTGATATCAGATTCAACTAGAAAAAGAAAAGTGTGTGAACAATAGGGATACTGACTTTTCTTTATGTCTTTGAGTCAGTCTCCTTCATTTGTCTAGGGTTGGCAGCCTATTCCATCAGACTATTCACATTGTCAAGGAGAACCGAGAAAAACTTCTTTTAAAGCCTTAGTCGTTTCCACCAAGAAGCAATATTTTACCTGTTGTCCTCATATGCATCTAAAAAACTGAATTATAAATTTTCTAGATCGAGCCGGTACCCAAAGGATTTGCCATTTTCAACCTCAGAAATTAATCCACAAGTGGGAGGGGTTTCGTAGATAAACCTCTGAACTTTTTATGTTACTCATACACCATGTGGCCTTTTCTACAACCCATTGTCAATAATATAAGATTATATGTTTTTCGAATTTGAAACTGCATATAATGTCAACACCAATGTGCTCGCGGGGTACCAGTTATCATATCACAAATTTGTATTCTTGCCATCGTGAATAACATGCTTTATAGATGGGCATACATCATTCTATTTCAGTAGCTCTCTCCATGCTTACTACAATGTTTTGGTCTTAGTTTTGTTACCTTTAACATCTAGACTATAGATAAGCTTGGAAAAGCTGGTGAAACAGTCAAGGTGGCGCCAGGATATTTTCGAAACCATTTGATGCCCAAGTTGCTTGCCGTCCCAAATATTGATAAGTTTGCACATCTCATTAGTGAGCAGCGCAAGGTATTCAAGTTGTCATTTGCTTGTATATTTTATTTTTATTTTTGAATCAATTCATTGGTGTGCATAAGTTCTTCTGATTAGCATTTTGGTTGCACATGATTGTGTAAAAATTGGAATATGTCATGCAGCTGATTATTGAATTTTGGGATTAGAAACTCCAGACTATTGATGCTGATATATACAAATATGAAAGAATTAGGTTGCATGAATACTGTGACAGAAGTTTGTGTTATTGTCAATGTGAGCATATTCATGGTTTGCTGCTGCTAGTGCAGCAACTAGTTCAACAAATGCATCTCAAAACATCAAATCTTGGTTACTTGTTGAAGCAAAATCGCCATACTTTATCCTATTTTCACGTGTTTTCTTCTGGATGATATTACAAGCGTAATGCCGCGAAAGGAGCATGTAAAGCTGAGAGAAAAGATTACTGAAAGATGAGCACACATGCACTAACTTGCTTTCCTGGTGTCACTTGATTATCCCCTCTTTGCTCTTCAAATTTTGTATTATCTATATATTCTCCACATCTACTACCAAATGTAATGTTTTCCAGTCTTTTTAATGCATCTATTCACATATTTTAGAGTTTAGAAAATCATCAGGTTGACTACAATCTTATATTCAATAGATTTGAAGTAGATGGTATTTTATGTAATCTCTACTGGTCATTGTCGTGTCAGATGTACCAACCTAAGGACATTGAAGAGGTTAAAGAAGTTTCAAAGACGGAGGAAGACCGGTTGAAAGAATATCAGTCAGCAGCAAATCGCCTTGATAGTGCAAGGCTGGTGAGTATTTCAAAGTTGACGCTTTATGTGCCCAATATGAATTTTGAGAGTTTCGGATGAATGTGAATTTTTCTCAGATTTCTTATTGCTGGTTTTCTTTCTTTTATTTTTTCTCTATTAAGATTATTCGTACAAATTCCGTGAATTATTTAAGATCAAGTTTAGGTTTTCTTATCTATCCTTTTGATTCTCCATTTACAATCTAAATTCCCAGAAAAACCTCTTCTTGTGAGCCATCATGATTTCCATGGAAAGAATTCACTTTTATTTTAATCACTTGATAGGTACATTTCTTGCAGTGGTGTCCTTGCATGCTAAAATCCTGCGATCAGTGTTTTCTTTTTTTTGTTGGTTATGACTCGTATTTATGGCACTTAAGTTGTAATTAAAACTGACTAACGAAGAAGAATGTTAAACATTTTCTTTCATGATGTTCATTTACATTCTTCATAGTCCAACACTAAACTGACATAGGCTGGAAGTATCTTGTCACTTTGTTGGAAATATTATAGGAAGACAGTCTCAAGGCACTAACCCACGTTTTATCATCTATGATATTTCATTGTACATTTTACTGGTCTTTTTCTAAAGATCTCATACTTGAATCTTTCTTTCATTTGAGACAAATTTCATTGGCACCATGAATTAATTTAATGTTTTCGTTTCTTTTAGAATCTAAGAAGATTCATCATAGAGGGAAAGGGTAATGAATTGCGTCATCCAGTGACAAAAGAAGAAATTCTGGCTGAGGTTTGAATTTGCTCTTTTACTTCTAACCAATAAAGAAGAGGCGTTACTTTGTTTTGATATTTAGCATCTGATCCCGACCTCTCTCGTACCTGATAATAAATCAGGTGGCTAGGCAGCTTCAAGTGCGCATTGAACCTGAAAATTTGCAATTGCCAGCTCCTTTATCTTCTTTAGGAGAGTATGAGTTGCCACTCCGCCTACCGAAGTCGATTCCGAAGCCGCAAGGTAAAGTTCAATGGACTCTTAGCGTCAAAATTAGGAAACAATGAAGGGAACCTTGTCCATTGAACGATTTACGGTGTTTTTTTTTTCCTTCTTTTTAAACCCTAGGATATGGAGAATAATTATAGCAGAGAGGTTGGATGAGTTGGGTTTGAAACGATTGATCATACGAACTTCATCGTGATTTTGTATCTTTGACCGGCGAATGTTCCCTCTCATTTATTTAAAGAAGAGTATTGAAATTGTTGCAGGATATATTGGTGCCAAAAACTAGAATATAAAATAGCTTCTCGCTGATATTAGTACCCGAATCTGTCCTTTCACATGCATTTTCTGATTAGAAACTTGTCTACTTCTGTAAGCATGTTTGGCTGAGCTTAAAAAAAGAAAAGAAAAAAGTGGCTTATTTTGAAAGTAACTTGTCAAGTTTACTTATAATCAAACTTCTTAAGCTTGCACAAAATGCTCCAAGTGGGAAATTCGAATGTGAAAGGCCTCGGATTAAGGTGCATAATATGTGGTACTGATGTATGTATGGGTGTGTTTGAGCCATATTATTTTGGAAGAATGTATTTTGAAATAGTAGATTGATGGAGAATGTGTAGTTGAAAAAGAAAAAAAAATTATTGATGTGATGAAAAATATTATTTTGTTAAAGAATGTGTGGTTGAAAATGAGTAGAAAAATGAAAATAAAAATTTTATTGTGGCTCAAATAGGGACATAATGTATGAAAATTTTATGCGACTCGTGAAAAACATGACTCAGTTTAAATTTTTTAGAAAAATTTAATTTAATTTTATAAAGTTGGTCGCGTGACAAGTTATTTTAACAAAAAGTTGAATGATTATGTGGAAGGCATATGTTGTAGCCTTTTTTATGTGGGGTCCTTGAAGGTAAAAAAATTATAATCAAATTATAATTAGACTTTGTCTCTCCTTTCTTATAAATCAGTTTCCCCTTTCTTTCCCAAACGCCAGTTATGACTTTGACTTTCAGCTTCTGAAAGGCGACCGTCCTCAGTTCTCCACTCGTAAGTTTAAAATTACTTTTTTAAAAGCTAAATTCTAATTTATTACTAAAATAGTAATTTTTAAGTCTTAATAGTCAATTTAATTGAAGTGATTTTCTATATAATAATATTAAACTTATCGTGTTTATAACATGTAGGATTATGATTTTCATATGCTAAGCTCTTGTTTTTAAATTTTAAGTATACATCTTATCCGATTTATACAACTTATAATCTCCAAAAGGATTATCAAACCGAACAAAAGACATACATAATTTTTAGGGCTGTGCTTCTTGTACATCAAAGTGTACATCAGATTTTTTATTTTTTATTTTTAATACTCCCGGGGCATAGCTTAGTGGTGTAAAGGACGTGAGTGAGGTAGTCTCAACTGAGCTGGCAATCGCAGTGTGAGTGTTTGATTCTTACCTCTTACAAGGTATGTAATTGGACTATTTATAGGCACCAGTATGACAGCTCTTGTACTCTGGCCTGTTGAGACATATTTCAAGATTTACCTTCTCCGCAATGCTCTAGGGGAGGGGCGGGGCGGGGTCAACCTTGTTTTTTAAAATCAAATTTTTAGTAAATTTTGATAAAAGTTAATGAAATGTATAGTTGAAAAACTGTGGGACTCATAAAATATATGATTAAAATTAATTATTGACTTTGATTTGAGATTTTAATTAAATTTTAATTCAACCCAAACAGGGGCTTAATAATTTAAGCTTGTTATGTTAATTTTGGTAGAGTCGATATGTTTGGTATGGAACTATAACTATTTTTAATGTTAACATTTACGAAAGTTTAAATATTAAAATAAAAACTTTAAATTTTATTTATATGAAACACTAATTTCACAAAATGTTTTTTTAATATTAGACAAATTGTTAGCTTTTCACTAATAAAAAACAAATAATTATCAGACAAAAATGAGTACATGCTACGTGTGCGCGTGTATATATATAACGACAAATCCTCTCCCTTATTCATTGTTTCTCCTCCATTCTGGAATCTTTGAATTCTCAATTTATAGAGCACAACTCCCCAGCCTGTTCTGTTCTCTCTAAATTTCAGAAAAAGCGCAAATAATGCCGTTCTGTAACGTAAGTTCGTACCAGAACGGAGATGGAGATGAATCAGACATCAATGGAACCAACATTTTCTACAGAACTTACGGTCAAGGGCCGGTGAAAGTTCTTTTGATCATCGGTAAACCATTTTCATTTGATTTATTCGTTTTTAACCAAATATTTGAATCAGTTTTATGGTTTTCGATTGAATTTTTGTTTGATCATGATCGATGATGGTTTTTTTTGGATGAATGGTTAGGATTTGCTGGGACCCACGATTCTTGGGGTCCACAAATAAAGGGTCTCGCGGGAACGGTGATTCCGAACGACGATGAGTCGACGGCCGGGGATCGGAGCAATGAGAGTGACGAAGGTGATGGCGTTGAGGTCTGTGCGTTTGATAATCGGGGAATGGGTCGGAGCTCCGTCCCTACGAAAAAGTCAGAATATACGTGAGTTCCATTAAATTATAACCTGCTTAATTTTGTAATTGGACTCTCGTTATGGCTTAAATTGTAGAAAATTGTTGTTAAATTTGACGCTTTTTTTTTTATGCAAAACTGGTGGAGAAGACCTTTTGAGACCAAAATAATTGATTTTAGCCTAAAAGAGATTCTTGGACCCCTTCTACCGTCCGTTTGTTGTGGCCTTTGAACTTTTCAAATCTGCTTTTGTGATTAAGATGTTTTTGAACAATAATTTTCTGAAAGTGCTTTATTTGGCTAGAATAGCTTTCTAGACGAGCTCTCGTAGGAAAACTTCTTGTTGCAAAAGCAAAAGCGCTAAGGGTCTATCTTTATGTGTTGTTCACAGAAAAGAAAGTTTTCCAACTTGACTGCGCCAATTCAACAGCAAGTAGGAGAAATTGACCTTGAGAAATTCAAAGTGACTTGAAATGAAGGTTCAAGGTTTTTGAAACGGTCAAGAATTAATAAATGTTAATAAATTTCGAGTGAAAAAAAATAATAATGAGACATTATTGAAGTTGACTTCGATTATTTTCAGCTAGTAGACTTGATATTTTGGTGAGATAAGATTAGTCAACTTGTTTGGCTTTGTAGGAGTTGACTTTTGTATTACATTTAAGCCGTGTTCGGTAGAGATTAAAATCGGATTAAAATTGAAAAATTAGTCATTATTGTTAACTTTTATTAGACGAGTGGGATCCAATAACGGCTGTATTTTTAATTTTAATTGGATTTTAATATTTACCAAACGAGCACTTAGCCTTGTAATTTCTTGTACTGGACGTAGTATTCAGATTTTAATCGTTTTTGAAAGTTTACGGGTATATTTTTTTTGGAGGCAGGACGAGAATCATGGCGAAAGATGCAATAGCTCTAATGGATCACTTAGGTTGGAAAAAAGCTCACGTCTTTGGCCATTCAATGGGTGAGTTTTGACTTTATTGATTTTTTGACTCATTTATTTCCTACGAACTTGTATACTTATTGAAGTTCACGATATTAGATCACATTTCATGCTTACCTGCCTTCTTTTTTATGAAGCAGGAGCTATGATTGCTTGTAAATTGGGTGCCATGGTACCCAATAGAGTTTTATCTCTGGCTTTGTTGAATGTAACTGGTGGAGGTTATGAATGTATACCAAAGGTATGAATTCTTTTGGATGAAAATAATAAAACTTCAACTTTACTGTCTAGAGAAATTCTTCGAACCGAACATGAATGATTTTTCTTTTTCTTTTCAGCTTGATAGTCAAACTTTGTCGATTGCACTTCGTTTCTTGAGGGCTAAAAGTCCTGTGCAAAGGGCAGCTGTTGATTTAGATGCCCACTACTCTCAGGAATATCTTGAAGAGTACGTTGGAGATGAGACAAGAAGATCAATATTGTACCAAGTAAGAAACAGTAAGCATGAGTTTCGACGCATGTAGCCTAACATTTAAATGTCAATACCTGAATAGTTAAATGAAGTTTGTATTATATGTGTTATTAACTATGAGTTTCCTTGCTGGTTTAAATTTTGCAGCAATATGTAAAAAGCATATCATCAACTGGTATGCAGTCAAAACATGGATTTGATGGTCAGATTAATGCATGCTGGACACATGAAATGTCACGGAAGGAACTTGGGTCAATCTGTGCTTCCAGGTTTCATATATCTGTCATTCATGGCAGGTAGCCGTAGCTCAAAAATGCTATGTATTTCCCCCATTTAGTATCTGGACCATATTAAGATTATGACCGAATATTTCTGATAATGTAGATATGACGTCATTGCTCAATTATGTCATGCGAAAAAGCTTGCAGAGAAATTGTATCCTTCTGCAAGATTGGTTGAACTTCACGGAGGGCATCTTGTGAGCCATGAGAAAACTGAAGAGGTAGTTACTGATCGATTGAAAAACTGCTGCTTATTATACCCCCACAGTGGCATCAGTGCATTTCGTAAATAATTCAAGTACCTGAGTCAAGAGTGGTGTCTTAGTTAAAGAGATTTTCTTATGAAATTGTCCTATTAAAAACTTAGCAAGTTGACAGATTAGTGCACATATGGCTAAGCTTAAAAAGTTCACTTATAACTAAATAGGCAAGATTCAAAATAAAAAGTGAAATGTAAATTTTACTTCTTATTAAGCTTGGCCAAACATACTTGTGTACTTAACTCAACAGTAAGATACTATCAGAACTTGTGCACTGGTTATGAAAATAATTGGTGGGTGATATTCTCTTCTCAATTTTGCTTAACAACTTGTGGCAGATAACAGTCCACACAAAACTAAGTGCAAATGGTTTTGGGAGAAACTAATTTACTGGAGAGGACTGGGACTCGTATGACAAAAATGTACCAAAATTTTCTGTCTCATCTACAACTGTGATACTTAAATATCATGGCAGATGTTCATTGATTATTTCAGAGTTCTCCTAAAATGATGAACGATTGTGAGCAAGTTATGTTTGTCTTGTTTGATGCTTTCATGCTTTACAAAAAAAAAAGTTAAAATCTTTTTTTTTTTTAGTGTCCTATCCTATCTTGTACACCTACCAGAGACATAGTGACAGTGCAACACTAATGTATGGAATAATTTATCTCATTAAACAACCATAAAATAAAATGCTCACAAAAAATTTCGTGCCAGTGTGCAGTATTAGGATTGAATTCTATGCTTCCTGTTTATTTCTCTAACTGATTAGACCGCCAATGTTGATGTTTTGTCGGATTCAAGTGAGTCGCAACATGCACTTAAAGATACTGCAAAATGTTACATGGATAAATTCTAGTTTTGCTTCATTGAGTTGAGTTTTATAAGCTAATGCCAGACAAAGGATAGTATTTCTGTTTGATTATAATTTTTGACTTGAAGGGTCATATCCCTCTGAGCATTTTCTGCTCATGCAATTTTTAGATTATGATACCTCAAACTCTAATTATCATACACCTTGTACTTTGAGGATACGAAGAAACCCCAGAGTGCAAATTATATATAGCACCGAGTGGATTATGGACTTGTGCAATGTAACAGATGATCTCGATTATTGCAGACTTTACACATTATTTAGAAAACAGAAAATACACACAAAATATATATATTAGATTAGCAATTATATTCAAGAAGCCACAAGTAATGGTATCGAATTGATTCAGAATTGGAGACATGAGTGATATAATATATTTAGAAAGATGGAAATTACTCCTTAGCTTGTTTTTCGTTGAATTCTCAGGTGAATGCAGCTCTTCTTGAGTTGATCAAGGCATCGAAGAGTAAGATAAGCCTGCACGAGTGGACAAATTTGCACAAGAAAAGTAAAGGTGAGTATTACTTGTACAAAGTGACTATTCAAGAAAGCTTTATCCCATGCTTGACCAAATATGATAAAAGGGACATTACATATTTCTCCATAATAGCGCCCATTAATTCTGAAATTCAAATATTTTCCTCTACAAATCACGAAAGTTTCTGACGGTTTTTTTTTGTCAGTTTGTAAAGCTACCCGGATATCATTTTGCAAAACCGGCAGTTTATCTTTCATGGTTGACACTCTAGAAAAGCTACATCTTTTTCTATTGTACTTTTTCGGCCGCTTTGTATTGGCATTTGAGCGTGCGAGAAGAGCTATGAGGAGTCTAAAACCCGTGAGAGTAGGATCTGCTCTCACATAAGTTAACATAGTTCAAGCCTCTTCTACTGGTAATTCACAGTTCACTATGTTGTCATTGCAGATGCTGAAGTTACCGTCTGAGAAGTTATCTGCTTTTATTTAACAGTAGAACTGATTCGTTTTAATTATTTTCACAGGGAATTTTGTTCTTTTTTTACGGCCTCTCAGTCGATGTGGCTCTCTTGGTACAAGAATTGATTGAAATTTAATTGTGTGTATATCTGCAGCTGAAAAAAATTAGTTGGTAAACAAGGTAGGTAGGTTTTGAAGTCGATATTTAAACAACTGTATAGCTTCTTGATGTGCGACAGCACGGATTGTGGGCAAGGAGAAAGTTCAGCAGGGAGGAGAAAGCTGCAGTTAGGTCACTATTGGAAGTTGATAAACCTAAAAAGCATCAGTCTTGCTACTTCTATCCATTGTGTATTTCAGATTAATTTTTGTTCCAAATTATTTATTTTATGTAACCTTATTAAATTCTTTAAGCCAATGGAAACGAGCAAGATTTTAACGTTTTCCTTTCTTACGTGTTACTGCTTTTCATTGCTATTCAATTTTCCTTGCCAAACATGCTAAAAGCAAATACTAATTGTTTACTTGATTTGAAGTCACAGGATGGATAAATGTGAAACTTTTCCCTAGTGAAAATTCAAATGAAAACGATGTATAAAATCTTAAGTGTTAAAATATAAAATTCAGAAAACATGTTTCTAACATTCGCAAGGGTCCTTTGACAGGTTTTTTGAAAACTTCAAAATTGTTTATGAGATTAAGAAATTGTTTACGTACATGTTTGAATAATTTTCAGGAAGTGTACAAAATTGCGTACCAGTTTTCCATTGGCAGATGAGTGAGCAAGCGAGCTAGCAAAAGGAGAAATCCTACCTAATTTCATGATCCATTTTTCCAGTTTCTCAGTTCATTTTTCATGAAAATTGGTGTAGGAGAAAACACGAAAACACTGCCAGATCGACATTGAAGAAAGATTAATATAGATAAATGAAAGAAGGAACAAATTTGTGGCAAATTATAGCAGTTTGCAGTAAGAAATGTACCATAAGAATATTCTAATATGCTTCTCCCAACAATTTCGCCCAAACTACCTTGTTTTCATTAGTTTGGTATCAAGGAATAATTCCCTTTGATTAAGAATATGATTAAACCCATGTTTGGTTTGATTAAAAATTAATTTTTTCGGTAAATTTTGATAAAGTGGAAACCATTTGTGGCCACGCGATAAATATAAAATTAAATAAATTGAATGTTTAAATGGTGGGTTAGTCAACTGCCTAGATGACTTCCCATTTGGTCGTTGGAGGGACGTTATTGTAGGGAAAAAGCACTCACCGCCATGATGGATGGAAGTAGTAGTGGTTGTCTTTATATATATGCCAAATGGTCCCTAACCGAACTTGTATAAAAAATTCCTGCTGAATTTCTCTTTAAAAGGTGAAAGTCCTGTGTTTATTTCTATCAAGTAAAAGGAGTTATTAAATATGTATTGGCTAGAAGACGTTTGGTGCTTTGAGAACTCATTGCTACTGCAAATTTCTCAATCAGATCTTGGATAACATTGTCGGGTATACAAATTTTAATTTCTTACATGTGGTATCAGAAGTCAGAACCACCTTCATGTTTGGTTATTCAGAATTTGAAGAAATAAAAAATCTTAAATTACAGCATTACAAATTATATATTTGTTATTCTTCAGTTTTTTTTTTTTTTTTTAATTGTGCATGAAAATCATTATTTGGAATTAATATGCATGACCATGTGTGCATGGATACATACTATTTTAATTTGGTTTAATTAGCACTAATCCAAATACTTGCTGGTGTACAATAGTGTATGGAGGCAATTAATATTTTATTAAAGCAGTATGCGTTTAAAGAAATTATTTAAAAATGCAAATGCAAATCAATTTTTCTACCACGGTACAAATTCAAAATTGAAACAAAAATGCTTAGAAAATTCCATTACATGTCATCAATAGTGGATAACCCAACTCTGCATTATCTTGCAGATTTAGGAAACTATGTCGCCTGATTATTTTCAATAAGAGATACTTAAATTAGATTGCTAGAATGATATTACAAATAAATGCTGAGATGATGACGAGCATTGACGTTAAAAAGAATTTGTGCATGATTGAACATATTAACCAAATTTCTTCACGTGAAGTCCAAATTATAATTCGTAATTCCTAAATTTGTAATTGACAATTTTTTTAGTCAACATCAAGTTCTAGTTGAATTGTATTAGGAGTTTATCAAGTTGTAGTCAAAGTGAAAATATGAGTTATTGAATCTTAATTAAATAAAAAAGAGTTGAAGTTGGTAGTATGGTCCTTGAAGGAGTTCAAGATGTTCACGAAGATCACGTATAATCATTGGAATGCAATTGAAGTCTCAAAAGTGTCAAACAATCGCCCAAGTTATGCTCTAAATTATCAGGCACAACTTGAAACACATTTTGCACATAGAAAACATTGAAATTTGGATAAGGCTATTTCTAGAATAATTGTAGACCTTTGAGTTATTTTTCCAACTCATTTTGAATCTTCTCAGTTGGATATCGGGAGAGAAATTTATGGTAAGAATACTGACAACTGCTCAACTGCTGCTCGCGTGTCGCTAGGTTGAAGCTCGAGCGACAAGTCGACGTTCAGAATTTTGTTTTGCTTCAAACACTTGATTTTTCAATCCATTTTCATCCCAAACACTTTTTCCTATATATATCATATCTTATGAACATTCATAAGTGTGTTGAATCATATTTATTCCATAGAGATCATTCCTTTGAAGATTCAAAACATTCATTGATTCCAAAATTCAACCATCACATATTACTTGATCCATAAATTCATCCAAATCATATTTTTTTGATCAAACCATATTGTTTCATATAAAACCACAACTCAAAATACACATGATATTTTGATCAAACACCTGATCATTTAATCCACTAGAGATAAATCGATAATAGGGATCGAGAGCTGTTGCAGAAATACAAATTCAGGAGGACTAAAGTGAGGTATCGGAGTCGGGATTTGGCTTCAGAAGCACGCAGTCCAGGAGGGCTGGGGTATAAATTAGGAGTCGGGATTTGTTTTGAAGGATCGCACCTCTAGTAGGATCAAAGGAGACTGTAGGAATTGAAGTCAGAAGTTTTACAGGATAGACAGCTATGGACCGTACTGTAAGTTTGCTTCCATTTATAGTGGATTATTGACTTGTAAAGTACCCAAAATTTTACCAAATTGGAGTTTCTCTGTGATCATCTTTAATGTTCTTTACTACTTTAATTATTGATTGTGGTATTCAGATTTAGAATAAATTGACTTGTTCGATCCAACTATCTAGAAACAATTAAAAAGTAACTTATTATTTTTAATTGTAGGTTTAAATATTCGGTAATTTAAAACTTTCACTTCAGTTTACCACTGAAATTATTTGCAGAAAGTAATAAATGATGGGCACACATTGATTCATGCATGACTTGTTCTTTATGTAAGATAAATCATTGAAATTATTATGGCATATAATTGTTTAATTAATTAGTTGTAATTCATTAATTATTATATTTTAATTATATACTAATGGCAAGGAACTTGAACATGGCGTTTGGTTGTATAACATTAGTTTATTTTTCTATTTCTGTGGAGTTATGTGGTGGTTCATTGGAATTTTAAGACATTATAAATATTGTGGCGGTTAAATTTGAGAAATATATTGAATAATTTTGTTGGAAGTCTTAGTCGTCTTTCACTAAAAAAAAAAAATTCGGGAGTTTTAGAGATGTCATTTGTTTTCAACATGTTATTAAACTTGAGATAAACCAAAGCTTCTTTAGTAATAATTTTATGTTGTGGTACATTAAATCACATAAGAATTATTTTGATGATGTTAACATACAAAAAGTGTAGTCCAAATCGAGTGGCCCAATGGATAAGATCCAGTTAAAGTTTAGGATGAAAACTCAAATAGGACCATTAATGAATATAGTGGAGGTCCACGAACAAGGTACCGTCATCGCCCAAACTTGCAAGACGCCCAAGATCTAAGCAAATGGAGTGCTTTAAAATCGTCTAGAGCGAACGAGCCTATTCTTGCCCAAACCTTCGAATCGCCCAGGATCTTAGCAAATATAAGGTAATATGGTTATTCAGAGCAACAGTTATTGAAACGGTTATTGAGCAACAGTATCACATCCCACGATCCAAGAAATCACAGTTTTAGGCGGTTGAACGACGAAAGTAATGGCAATCTTGCAGATTTAGGAAACTATGTTGCCTGATTATTTTCAATGAGAGATACTTAAATTAGATTGCTAGAATGATATTACAAATAACTGCTGAGATGTTGACGAGCATTGACGTTAAAAAGAATTTGGGCATGATTGAACATATTAACCAAATTTCTTCACGTTAAGTCTAAATTATAATTGACAATTTCTAAATTTGTAATTGGCAATTTCCTTAATCAACATCAAGTTCTAGTTGAATTGTATTAGAAGTTTATCAAGTTGTAGTCAAAGTGAAAATATGAGTTATTGAATCTTAATTAAATAAAAAAGAGTTGAAGTTGGTAGTATGGTCATTGAAGGAGTTCAAGATGTCCACAAAGATCACGTATGATCATTGGAATGCAATTGAAATCTCAAAAGTGTCAAACAATCGCACAAGTTATGCTCTAAATTATCAGCCACAACTTGAAACACATTCTGCACATAGAAAACACTGAAATTTGGATAAGAGTATTTTTAGAATAATTGTAGACCTTTGAGTTAGTTTTCCAACTCATTTTGAATCATCTCAATCGGGAGAGAAATTTTTGGTAAAAATACTGACAACTGCTCAACTGCTACTCGTCTGCCGTTAGGTTGGAGCTCGAGAGACAAGTCGAAGTTTAGAATTCTATTTTACTTCAAACACTTGGTTTTCAATCCATTTTTATCCCAAACACTTTTTCCTATATATACCATATCTTATGAATGTCCAAAAGTGTGTTAATCATTTTTATTCCATAGAGATCATTCATTTGAAAATTCAAAACATTCATTGATTTCAAGATTCTACCGCCACATATTACTTGATCCATAAATTCATCCAAATCATATTTTGTTGATTAAACCATAGTGTTTCATATAAAACCACAACTCAAAATATACAAGATCTTTTGATCAAACACCAAATCATTTAATCCACTAGACATAAATCGATACCAAGGATCGGGACCTGTTGCAGAAATACAAATATAGGAGGACTAAAGTGAGGTACCAGGAGTCGGGGATCTGGCGCCAGGAGCACACAGTCTAGAAGGGCTGCTATATAAATCAGGAGTCGTGATTTGTTTTGAAGGAGCACACCTCTAGTTGGATCAAAGGAAACTGCTGGAATTGAAGTCAGAAGTTTTACGGGATAGACAATTATGAACCG